TGCTTGGCCTGCTGTGTTCATCCAGCTCTACACCTTGTTATCTCAGATTCTCCAGCATTGGCAGTTCCTACTATCTCAGCTAAAAAAAAAGCCTTGGTTTTAGGCAGAAATGCAAATGAGGGTACACACCATGCAAGTATGCACACAAAATATATCTTTTGAAGGATTTGACCCTCCCAGCGTATGTAGAATACCTCAAAATAAAATTTCTTGATTCTTACATTCTGAAGAAAGAGAAGAGATAGATGCTGTGTGGGAAGGATAAAGAGGAAATGTCTAAAATTCGCAGATGCATTTAACTGTCTCTGCTTCACTTTTAATGATGTAGAATGTGTCAATAAAATGGTCTTGATAAAAAGTGCTTATAGCTAGACTGTGAGCTGTTTCGCGTACTGTTCATCCTATTTATTTCCACTCAGATTGCATTCTGAAAGCAGGGTAATTTCTTATTTTAATGTGGCTTGTTGGTATTTTAGCAATTCCTTGACCAGACACTTTCTGCATTTCCTTAAATCATGACTGATTTTTTTTTTAAAAATGTGGTACAAGAGATATTTTATACTTCAGAGAAATTCACATTTAACATTGTGTCTTTGCTGCATGCATCCCATGAAAATATTTATGTTTTAAAGAATAATACTTTATTTTAAATTTGATAGTTTAACTGATTTCAGTACCAAGGTTCCAAGTATAACACATGGCATGTATTCGTGGTCTACTGAGATCTCATATCATTGTGAAACAAACAAATTTACGTATATTTAATTGGTTGTGTAGTGGATCTGTGGCAGATTTGGGTCTGAAATGAGTTAGACAGTTGAAATGTTATCAAATAAAAAAAAAGTAGTTAACTGGTCTAGCACCAAAAACCCATTCTCTTGTGTTCCACAAGATATGCAAAAACAATGCAATAAAGCGTGACTGTAATCAAGAGTGTATGCGTATTAACTTTAAATCATAGATTATGTAAGTATGTATATATATTAAATGATGAATAAATAGATATAAATTTATATTTCTCTATGAATGTATGAAATATATATCTATGTCTATTCAGTGAATTCTTGTATTGCTTTCATTGACAACATGTAATACTTGAATTCAGGTCTGTTTTAGCATTTGAAAAAAGACAAAAAAATTATGCCTAGCAATTCCTTTTCAATTAATTTGTTAAATACACTGGTGTATATTTAGTGCATGAAAGTCATTAAAATTATTATCAAGTGTGCCAAGAATATATATATTATATATATATATATATAAAAAAAAGTATAGATTTTAACTTTTAAATGCTTTCTAAGGCTAAATCAAATAAATGTTTTTAATCAAAATTTAAAATGTACATATTGTAGTTATAATGTTACAGCATCTTCACACATTTAACACATACTGATTTTGCATATCTTGTGTTCACTGCTATTGTAGTACTTGTTTCTTTTTGTTTTCACCCCGAGTTGCAATCTCTGTGTGTACATCTGTTTCTGCAAGGAGGTGCAACAAATATATAAATATTCAATTTATCTTTATTTTCCCTTTCAAGTTGCAATATCCTGTTCTTGTGCCTATATTTAAAGTGGAGACTGAACTTTTTCTTTACATTGCTGGGTTCTCTAGCTGCTGGTATTTCTGGAGAAATTGAATTTGTAGAATGCAACAAAATCAAAAGAAATCAACAGGATGCTTTAAATGCATTCTGGGAAATTAATACACTTTAATTAGATTGTTTTATCCTGCTTCATTTCTTTCATAGAGAAACATTCATTGATAAATAAAAGATATTTTTCATTATTTTCTAACTTCCATGACAAATTTTTTACTAAAACTTCTTTAAACCAATAGTCAGCCACAGTGGCACCATACCATCCAAAATATACTGCAGGGAAATGAAGCAATAGCATCTCTTGTTGGTGAAAGCAAAAAAACTGCAGTTTCACAATCGGTGTTGCGCGCCAAAATAGGAAGCATGACACAGATAAATTTATTGTCAATGAACTTAGCCTTGCTTCACAATTTAAATTTCTAAAAATGTTATATGGATGATGTGCATCGAGGTATTGGGTAAAATACATGAGTGACAAAAAGCTGTGGAAGTGCTGACAACATAAATTTGGAACATCCATTCATTTTGCTAGAAGTAGCATTGGTATGCTAATCAGACTTACGTTTCATGTTTTAATTATTAATTTGAAGTACTTTTTTTCTGCAACTCATAATCTGAGTTTTCTCTTTGTAAAGGTATGAAAGGTATTCTTCACACTCAAGCACTATAAACAACGGTGTGAAAATTAATTTACATATGCAACAAATATTTCTATAAACTAATTTATAAGTCATATAATAATTATCTCCTCTATTTGTGAGGACAATCCTCTGTTATAATCATCCTCATTTGACATAATTAACTTTTTCAAGGGTATGTGAGGAAATAAATTATGTCAAACACATCTTATCTGAATAAGCATTATTTTTTACAAAATTCAGAAGGTATGATCAGTAGACAATTAGAGATTATAGTTGGCCTGCAGAAATTATAGACTTGTTAGAAAATATTTCCCAATATCCAAAAAGATATACCACTTGCCTATATAAAGCATGAAAATTATGTAATTAAGACTAAGATAGTGACAAAATATTCCAGGTTATTTAATGTTCATTATTTTATGTTTTTAAAGGTCATTTCATGCATTATGATGAGTTACAGTTTCAAAAGTTAATCATTTATTTGGAACGAACTAGGACACGTTTTTAAAAGTGAATCAATAGAAGACTGAGAGGGAGATGAATAAGTAAGTAGCTGCCATGATATCAAAGTTCATGAAAGAGAGTTTCATTTGTACTTTGTAAGCTCTTTTAAGTTTTAATTCTTTCATTGTCCCTGCAAGGCTACTGCATTGGTTAAAACTGGTTTCCACTTTAATGGAGTATTCTTCCTTCCTTAGACTATCGTTGTTTGTATATGGAGAAGTGTTTTCCTGAACATATTTGAGAGCTTAAAATGATATGCCCACCCTATCATCTGCAGTTCATTTAGGATATATGCAAATAGAACAAGGCATTATTATTATTTATAAAAAGGAAAAAGATGAGGTGCTAAGTATAACTTTCATTATTCTTACATTAAATATAGGTCATCCGACAAGCTGAATTTAGGATGCCATTGGTGTCTTTCCAGTGTGAACTGTATGAACGTGGTATTTAATGGTACCTATGCTAATATTAACTCTCCATGAAGACTTGATCTTTCATAAACTATCAATAAATTTTCCAGATCATATCCCTCTTCATGTATGCTGACAAAATAATCTAGTAAGTTACACAAAAACAGGGGTTCCAATGGACAGAATCTTCCATCATGGAATCAAGAGTCTGATGCTGGCATGGAAATGAGCAGCATTTCCTTTTGGAGGTGACTAGGTCTTTCTCACTTGATCGGCTAGTTTTTGACTCATTACATATTCATGCACAAGGAGCTTAGTGAATCTTATGGGGCTGATGGGTAGGCAGTTCTCAAGCTTTGAAGGTTTTTGCAGCATTTCGAAAGGGCTCACAGACATTGATTTTCTGCAATCAAGGAATGTCACTCGAGCTCTCGGACTGGGCATCAGCAGCCAAACACTTCCTTAATCAGCCAGCATTCCTTCCTCAGACAGTGTCCTACCCTTCTCTGGACAGATGGCCTACTTCCTGGAGGGAATCATGCACTTCTCCAAGCAGTCTAACCTTTTTCACCAAACACCCTCCCTCCCCCTTCCAGCCTTTTTGTACCCATCCCTAGATCAGTTTCCACCTATCTTGGACTGTCCAGGATGCAATCTCAATTAATATGATGACAGTTAAAAATATTTCACTAGAAAAGGATAAGGCAGCAGCTAAACCACCCTAAAGTAGTCTATCTCGCCAGGTGCCTACTTCTTTATAATCAGTCAAGTATTAGAACACCTGTACTGCTCGCTCACACAGAATGTAACTGGGAGGAAAACTTAATTCTAACAAGCTGGCCTTTCACCGAGAGTTCATGAGATGCAATGGTATTCACAAGGCTTGCATCGAGAATCTCAACCTGCTTTGAAAGTTCAAAAGAACTTAATGGCAAAAGTTCATCCTGCCATTGGGATTCTAGATTATGACCTGCTCGTTTTTCTTCCTGTTCTGACAGCAGCACAAAATTCTGTCCTATATTTCTACAACTTACTAACCCCAAGTACACAAATCTCACTATACAAAAGGGTGGTCCCTTATACAGTAGGCAGATGCTAATACCTGAGAGGAGAAAAGAGAATTTGGATGGGAGTCCTGAAAGGGAAATTATGTTTGACAAATCTGTTTGAATATTAGATGGATCTCATTTGATGGAATGAGATCCAGTGGATGTGGTGCATTTGAATTTTCAGAATACTTTGGATAAATTTCCACACAGGAGATGAGTAAACAAAACTGGGGACATGGACTGGAGGGGGAAGGGGTTAAATATACTGGAATTTATTGAGAATTACTTAACGGATGTAAAACAGTGGGTAGAAAAATCAAGTCATTCTCAGGATGGCAGGCGGTTATTAGTGAAGTAACGCAAAGATCAGTGCAGGGCAACAGCTATTCACAGTCCATATAAATGATTTGGATGTGTGTACCAAATATAATGTTTGCAAGTTTTCTGATGGCAAAAAAAAATGTTTGGAATGTAAGTGTGAAGAAGATGCAAGGTAGTTTCAAGAGGACTTAGCCTAAGTGAATGGGCAAGAACATGGTAGATGGAATACAATGTGAATAAGTGTGAAGTTAGACATTTTGGTGGAAAAGAAAACAGAAAAACAGTACATCTTAATAGTGAGAGGTTTGTAAAGTGCCGATGTCCTTCTTCATGAATCAATAAAACTTAGCATGCAGGTGCAGCAAGCAATTAGAAAAGCAAATGGTATGTGGGCCATCTTTGCAATGGAATTTGAATAAAAAAAGAGTAAAGATGTCTTGCATTAATTGTATGTAGCCTTCATTAGACCACACCTGGAATACTGTGTACAGTGTTGGTCTCCTTATGTAGGAATATATTTGCCAAAGAAAGACTGCAAGAGAGAGGTATACCAGCCTAATCCCTAGGTAGGCAAAGATTGCTGAAACTGGGCCTTTATTTTTCTATATATTATGAGAATCAGAGGTAATCTAATTGAAATTTATGGAACTCTTAAAAACCCTTGACAGGACGGATGTAGATAGGATGTTTCTCCTAGCTGGTCAGTCTAGAACAAGAGGACTTAATCTCAGAATGAGAGGTATGCGTTTAAAACTGGAATGAGGAGGAATTTCTTCACTAACAGGATGAATTGTTGAAATTGTCTAGGCGAGAGGGCTGTGACAGTTCAATCATTGAGCATGTACAAGGCTGAGATCGGTAGATTTCTGGAGATTAATTACACCAAGGGATATGGGGATAGCACAGGAAAGTGGCATTGCAGTAAATGATTGGTCATAATCTAACTGAATGGTGGAGCAGACTAAATGGGACAACTGGTTTCTTCTTCTCCTTCTCCTGTGTTCCTGAAGAAATTTAGAACCATCTTATTACACTGTCTGCCAAAATTGGAATAAACAAAAAGGCAATTTCAGAACTCATTAAATGACAATATCAATACAGCAGAAACCCAGAAATTGACTCGCAGACTTTAATTTGCTGCATTAATTGGTTTATGCATAATTTACAGTAAATAATTTACCTTGTAGCACTTGTTTCTACTTTTTCAGCTTTAAGCCATAGCTACAGTTGTCCATTAGGAACAATGTGGTTTTGGTGTACATTATGAAAAGGCTGATGATAATACAGTACGTGAAGGAGTATGCATGATATCTGGTACCATACAAAAGGCACAATCAAATTTTCACTATATGGGATGGCAATGGAAACTGTATTTCGCCAGACATCATACTCTCCATGCTATCAGTTAAACAGTTAGTTCATGCACATTACCACATTTTTGCTGAATTAATGTAGTTAACAAAATGCAGACTACAAAGAAAACAATGGATCCAACATTTAAACCTAAATTATTTTAAATACCATTTAGCACCTAAGTACCCTCCTTCACAACACTAAAAATATTAGAGCCACCACTTAATCAATCATCAGTTTTGATTATTACCCTGTACATTGTTAGTGTTATGCCTGCACCTATTGATAATCGTGGTATTGCAAAATTTGTGAAAGGGAATTGAAAGCCTCAGTCGCAAACAATTCATATTATTTTATCTTATTTGGTAGTAATGCTGTGTCCAGCATCAATTGTTTGTCCCAACATTCTTCCAAGTCTTTTCACCCACTGAAGCTAATATTGAGATTTTGCATATTTAATTTTTATTGCAATTATACACTGTAAATTAAAGACATGCTTTGAATGTAGCCCTGTTAATTCTGGATGTACAATATTTATAGGATTATTTTGTAATGTGGTAATTTTTAAATTTCTATTGGAACATGTTGCATTGCAATATTAACTATTCAATGAGGTTAGTATTCTTATGATTTGATATAGAACCCTAATACAAATCTAAAACAACCCTTACAACAGAACTGTGGGGTTTCGTAGAGCCTCATAATCAGATCAACAATATATAAAGCTGGCTGTGTACTCTGGCAACTGCCACTGTGTGTGCTTGGACACAACACAGACCTAACCTTGCATAATTTAACTGAGCTGTGGGCCTCTGTCATAAATGTAGAGTGCTAACAGTCTGCAAAAGGCATGGTGCAGGTGCATAAGGCAGAAGGATGGTGGGGAAGGTATGGTTACAATATTTATAGGAATTGTGTGAAGACACTAAGCAAGCATTATGACATTTTCATTGGTAACATTTTAATGATGATTTCTCTTTCAATGCCTAATTGAATGGGCACTGCTCCAGGCACATTATTAGATAATCATCGAATATGACAACTTCATAAACTTTCTCAAAATTCTTCAGTTACCTGGAAAACTGATTTAGGTAATAAGACATGAAAATGCAATGGAGACAGTGAAGGTCTTTGTAGCTGTCTTGGAAACTGTGTGTACATAAATGAATAATTAGCTTGTTTTCAGCAACACAAAGAGAAGCTCAGGAGACCAAAACTTGGCAACATAATGATAGTTTGCATAGCAGGGTTTCAGTAAGACTATATTTAATGTTGATTATTGGACTGGAATTGCATATGCTAGTCAGCAGTGACAAGGCCAGGGATCAAAAAAAAGGAAGAAATTGTAATATGTGCATTTAAACACCTTTTTTTTACAAAAACACACTGCTTTCCCTTTTAATCCCCAAAATTATATGGTAACTGACTATTTGTGGAAAGCTATTTCTGTCAGGGACTTGAGTGAATCCAGAATTATCTGAAACACTAGTAGATTTTGCAAATATTGTTGTTTTATTTAAATTATTATTATTTAGTATTGCATGCAGAGTACATGATTAATTCCCTACCTTTTTGTGTTCTCTTTACCACCTGTTTAACCAGTTTGAATCACTAAATTCAACATTTTTGTACTCTGTTAAAAAGCAAAACAGAAAAATAAATAATTTGTAAATAATAATGTACAGTTTGTAACTGTAATGTTATTCTGTCTCTGGTGGGATAAGCCGTCTTGTCCTCGCACGTAAAATTTAGAATGTATTGACCTAAAACAAGTTTTAAGTTAATCTTTAATTGGACAATGTATATTCCTGTAAGATTGCATTTTTATCTAAGGAATGATGTTATTAAAAACTGAAAATAAATTAAATTTCCTAACACCGTGTCCCAGTTTGTTGTACTAGGCCACAGTTAAGCACTTTTTTCACTTATCAGAAATCAGATAGAGAAGGCGGCTATTCAGTCCATCATGGCCGCACTGGCACTCCAACATGCATTATGACTTATAGAGTTAGTGTCATACAGCAAGGTAACAGACCCTTTGGTCCAACTTCATTCATCTGCATTTTCTCCATAAACTTGCATATTGAAAATAGATGATTATTTGAAAAGAAACAAATTATCATATAATTCCCTCTTCAGTGTCTTAATTGGCTTTGCACAATTTCAAGCAGTGTATTCCAGACATGAACCTCTCATTGTGTGAAGAAGCTTGTTTTTAGATTACATTTACTGCATTTGCAAAATCATTTTATGCCCGTGTCCCTTGTTACTGTTCATTTTACAAGTGAGAATGGTTTCTTCCTATCTATGCAGGGCCCTCATGATTTTGAGGCCTTCTTTCAAAGCTCCTCTTAGCCTTCTTCTCTCCGAGGAGAACAGCCCCAATCCCTCCAACCTATCTCATAACTGAAATTTCTCAATCCTGGTGCCATTTTTGGAAATTTCTTACACACTCTAATATGTTCACATCCCTACTATAGTCCAGAACTGTACACAATACTGCAGGTGAGATTGAAAAAGTGTCTTGTGTAAGTTCAGCATAACCTCCCTGCTCTTGTACTCCAAGACTCTCTTAATAAAGCCTATGATAATATAGATGTTTTCGTCAACATGTTCAAGCATGCTAAGACCCACATCTTGAGCAGGTGGGACATGAACCCAGATCTTTTGGGTCAAAAAGGAAGAGCATTACCACTGAGCCACTCCCTTAATCCTTTGTTAATTGCTCTCGCCACCTATCCTGCCATGTTCCATGATCTGTGCACAGATGCACCAGGTCTCTCAGCCACTGCACCTTCTCAGGTATTGTAACCCCTATTTTGTATTGCCTGTCCCTGTCCTTCTTAGGAAAATGCACAACCTCAGCATTGAGCTTCACTGACCACCCATCTGCCCACAGCACCTTGTCAGTATCCTTTGGAATATTCTACACTTCTTCCCCATAGTTTACGAAGCTCCCAAGTATTATATTCTCCACACACCAAGATCTAGATCATTAATATAGCTCCTTAGCACCTTCCAAACCAACGATCACTACCATCTAGAAGGACAAGGGCAGCAGATACCACAATTGGCAAGTTGCCCTCCAAGCTACTCACCATCCTGATTTGGAAACATATCAGTGCACCTTCAGTATTGCAGGGTCAAAATCCTGGAACTCCTACCAAATGGAATTGTGGGATCCCCTACAGCACATGGACTGCAGCAGTTTAAGAACACAGCTCACTACCATTTGGAGCGAAAGGGCAACTATATATATGAATATACAATATGCGTCTGGAAAAGCAAGGGTCCCAATACTGGGGAATTCCACCACAAAGCTTCCTCCAGCATAAAAGAACATGACCATTACTCTGTCAATTTTGTATCAACATTAATTCTGTTCCTTTTATTTCATGAACTATAGCTTTCTGCACAAGTCTGTGAAGTGTGTAGCACAAGTGTGCCATGCTATATGGAATGCCTGATGAAAGTCCATGTATACAACACAAATACTATTACTCTATTAATCATTGACACTTTGTTATCTCTTCAAAAAAAATCCAGCAAGTTAGTCAACCACAATTTCCCATTTAGAAATCTCTATTGACTCTTCCTAAACAACACACCTTTTCTTCCATGTAGCTACCAATTCTATCCCAAATAGATGTGTCTAGAAGCTTCCCCACTACTGAAGTTAAACTAATTTATCTGTAATTGCTGGTCTAATCCTTAAAAGTTTTCTTGAACAAGACTGTAATTTCTGAAATTCTTCAGGTTTCTGGTACCTCCCTGAGTCTAGGGAAAACTGAAAGATTGGATACAATGCCACTACAATTTCTACTGCCACTTCTTTCAATATTCTTGAATGTATGTCATCTGATCTGATTTCTTATTAACTTTAATTATCGATAGTCTATCCAACACTCCATCCTTATCAATTTTGAATTATTCCAGTGACTTCCTTCTTTGGCACCATGGCCTGATTGGCTTTACCACTTTGATGAAGACAGATGCAAAATAATCATTTTCATGGTTAACCAGGGAAGTTAAGAATAGCATAAAATTGAAAGAAAAGTTAATGGTTAGCTAGAGGATGAGGAAAGTTTTAAAAGCCATTGAATGATGACCAAAAAAGGAAGAATGAGGTGTGGTTAGGTGGCCAGCAGCAGAAATGGCTATGAGACTTCGTTTATTCAATCACTGGATGAGGGGTGTCGCTGACTAGGCAGCATTTATTGCCCAGAGCACAGTTAAGAACCAACCAAATTGCTGTGGGCCTGGAGTCACATGTAGGATAAGGATGGCAGTTTGCTTTCCTAAAAGGCCATTAGTGAACCAAATAGGTTTTTCCAACAATCAACAATGGATTCATGGTCATCATTAGATTCTTAATTCCAGATATTTTATTGAATTCAAGTTCCACCATCTGCCATGGCAGGATTCCAACCTGGGTCCCCAGAACATTATCTGGATCTCTGGATTAACAGTCCAGCAATAACACCAGTAGGCCATCACCTCACCCCCTTTAAGAGGTACAATCTAGCATGCTAGGAACTTTGGTCAAGCTAGTTTAAACTCTGACCTAGGTTAACCTGCAGCCAGGACATGTTGTGACCGGTCCTGTAAGCTGTGACCTGCAGTTTCCTGTGTTGACCGAATCCAGGACAGTTTTATGGCAGTCTGCCACACATACTGATGCCACATTACATTATATGGAGCATGAATGTGGCTGTTTACAACTTGGTGTAAATATTTGAGAGTCGACTACTAGTAAAGTCCATTGGCTGAGATCAAAAAGTTTGATCAGGATTTAATTAATTCATTGGTTCAGTGCCAGAAACATTTCTAGAAATGAACATACTTTGCGATTGAAGTTAGCAGAACAAAGGAATTTTCAGGATGAGCTTTTGAGACCAACATTTGAGAAGCATGTGCCCTTAAGTTATCTTTAGAGGAGACAAAGGGCCACAAGGCAAGACCTACACAAAGCAAAGTTGGCCACTTCACTAGTAGTCAACCTTATAGAGTTAGAGTTAGAATTAAATGTGGGTTAAGCTAAAGTAAGGTAAAGTGAAGTTAAATGGAGTTAAAAGCTGAAGTTACGTTAGGTGAAAGAAGTAAATGTTGCAACTAATGCATGTTTTATATCGTGTACTAGCACTTAAAAGGGTTAAATAAAGGGTTTCTTTAATTAAAGTCTGAGTCTCCCTGTCTTCTGTCTGTCAAACAGGGAAAGAATACCTGCATAAACGGTTCGAGTACTCCTTTCAGGTAACACAGGAAATGGCAGAAAAGTTGAGGAAATACTTTGCATCTGTCTTCACAGTAGAAGAGACTCATAGTATTCCAAGAATGCTAAAGTATCAAGGAGCAAAAGGGGGAAAATTACAAGAGAAACAAAAGGGGACAAAGCTTGATAAATCCCTTGGATCTGATGGAATGCATCCTAGGATATTAAAAGAAGTATCTACAGAAATAGTGGATGCACTGGTAATAATCTTCCATACATCTATAGATTCTGTAAAAGTTCCAAAGCATTTGGAAAATTTTCAATGTAACATCTTTATTTAAAAACAGAAGGAGATAAAAACAGGTAACTGTAGGCCAATTTCTTAACACCTGTTACTGCGAAAATGTTAGAGTCTATCATAAAGGACGTAATGGCAGATCATTTCGAAATACATAATATGATCAAGCACAATCAATATGGATTCTTGAAGGGGATATCATACCATACAAATTCATTAGAATTATTTGAGGTGGCAGCAAGCAGGACAGATAAAAGGGAAAACAGAGGATGTAAATTATTTGGATTTTCTGAATGCATTTGATAAGGTACTGTACATTGGGCTACTTAATACAACAACAGCCCATGCTGTAGGAGGTGGTATATTAGCATGGATGAAGAATTGGCTAAATAATGGAAGGAAGAGATTTGGAATAAGGGGAACATTTTCAGGATGGCAATCTATTACTTTTGGAGCACTGCAGGAATCAGTGCTGGGGCAACAATTATGTAAAATACATATAAATGGCTTTGATGAGGGCAGTGAGTGTCTTTAAGTAAGATTGCAGATGACACAAAAATAGGTGTTAAGGCAATTGCTGATAATGACACAAAGAGTCAGCAGAGGGATATTGACAGGTTGAACAAATGGGAAAAAGCTTGGCAGAATAGAATGTGAATAAAATATATCTTGAAGTAGAGTTCAATGAATATTTAGATGAACCTATGAAGTAAACTGTATTAAAATTGAGACCTTAGTAGTCATGTGCTCACACCCTACTAGAAGGTTGGAACTTGTACAGCTCAGAACATAGGGCAATATTGCCTTACCATCATGTACATATTATTAATAAATCAGATTTAAAAGTAACCAAGAAGTCTGGCTGGAGCTTATACAAAGAACAGAAAAGTCCATACTAAAAAAGAAATCCTCTTTATGTTCTCTAAGTATCTTGGTACAGTTATATTGATGATAAGGTAAAACATTTTGATCCTCTTGACTGGTTAGTTCATCAATTGTTTATCGCCTTTCACTTAAAAAGAGCTTTGTCTAATTCTTTTCTCAAGATCCACAGCTTTTTCATTACGAAATTTAATTTCCATTCAAGAACATGTATCATTCCTATAAGTTCCACAGTACCATTATTGTTGCAGCCGAGTATTTCAGTTTCAAAGCAAAGCTTTCCTCTATTCCATTATTAGCTTGGAATGCTGTTGCTATCTGTTTAGGTACATTTTGTTTAGATTCAATCTGTAGGTTTTATACAGAAAATTGCAATTTACTTCCAGCTGCTAATAACACTTTGTTGTCAGTCCGAGATCCAATATTCTTTCAACACCATCAGTCTGAGCTTCTGACTCTTTGGACGCATGTTACTTTGAAACT